AGAAGATTCACCAGAGACAGAGTGGGGAGCAGAATAGGCCAGGCAGATCTATCAAGTACCCTGCTGAGGGGAGCAGAGGTTGAGACCAGAGAGGTTTGCCGCGCCATGTGGGTCACCTCCGGGCCCAGGGATCGAACTTGCACTGAAGCAGCTGCGGCCAGCCTCACAGCACAGCTTTAACCCATGGCATCACCAGGGAGGGCCCAGCACCTCCATTTTCTTACATGTCAGATCAGCACAGTTAACACCTGCCTACAGAGCACTTGTCAGGAAGAAAGACCACAGTAAGTGGAACAGTACTGGCTGGGTATTTTAAACCAAATATAAAGTGGAAACATAAAGTAGTGTGGAGAGACAAAGAGCAGGTCTTTAGGGAAGGACTACTGCATCTCCATGCACCCAACTGGATCAGGATTGGGTTCCTGGGGACTTGAGTAGCCAGACCAGTATCTCTGTCTCCAGGAGGCCAGAGCAGCCCTGTGCATTTACTAGAGAAAGCTGGGGGTCCTGACGGCATCATGTTACTGACTCCTGGTTCAGGATGCCTCTCCCCCACCCTTTGCTCTCTGCCCTCTCGCCTGATTCAGCTTCCTTCCCCCTTGCCAGATTCAGCTTCCTTATCTGGAATTCCAATGTTTGTATTCTTGTCCTTGACCTCTTTGCCCATTTGCTGCTCTAGATGAAGGTGGTGGGGGGCTTTGGGTTAGAAAGCAGGATGGGGGCAGGGGTGAATCTGTGAGCTAATTAAACATCTCAGCCCAAGGCTTGCTTGGATGGTACCTGTAGGGCTTCGGTACAAGCTCAATACATATTTTCTGAGTAAATGGATGAATGAAAAAGAGGTAAGAATGGAGGAGGGAGGAGGTGTGGAGTGTGGGCAGAGTGAGGCGAAGCTGAAGCTGCTGAGGTGCTCAGGGGGTGCAGGGGCCCACGCAGCTCTCAATTAAGTGCACTTGGATTCCATGGAAAGGCAGAAAGTGAAAGAGAACTTGCTGGCAAGCTGAGTCATTCCAGGGAGTGAACAGAGGAAGCAATTGGGCTTCCCACTGCTAGGAGGACTTCAAAGCCATTCTGCCCAGCAGCCTTTTGTGTGCAGGTCCTCAGTGCTCAGCTGCTGCTAAGCCGCTCTGTCCCAGTGGGCAGCTCGGGTCTTAGCTGCGCTGAGTGCTGAGTGACACTTCTCCGGGGGAACATGATTACCCACCCATCCCAACCTGCCCTTCCCCCTTCCAAAAATAAAGCCACAGTCACAAGCAAAGCTCATGCAAATTTACCCCTCTGCTGCTGTCAGTGCTGAGCTGTGCCCACAGGAGGGAACAGAAGGCAGGCGGCCTCATCCACATTCATGATGTGGGTGCCACAGGGCACCAGGATGAGGCAGCTGGTGGAACAGGGGCCACTTTTCCACCTGGCAAAGGGGCAGC